GCTGCGGGAGCTGCGCTGCCCCGCCCCTGGGCCGGAGCGCCGCGCTGGTTGGCTGGTCCGCGGCATGTCGGCCGTCACGTGGCCTGGACAGCGCCGGGCTGTCTGCGCCTGGCATGGACTCTCTGGCGGCCGCGGGCCGGGGTCCGGAGGAGCCGAGTGCGCAGGAGGTGCCCGGCGCGGAGGTGAGCTCGCCAGGCGGGAAGCGGTGGGGCTCGCGCGCGGCTGGAGAGGCCGAGCACGCAGAGCCGGTAACGGCGGGCGCGGGAAGGCGCGGGGGTTGCAGCCCAGGTGGTGCCGAGCGCCGGAGGAAAAGGACCGAAGGACCGCCCGACCCCAGCACTGCGCGAGTGATGGAGGGAGTAGCAGGTGGCCCTGAGCTGGCGCCCGCGGCTGGGGGCCAGAGCCAGGTGGGCGGCGAGAGGGGACTTCACCTTTTGGACCCCTGGGCATTGGTGGGGATGTGTAGCTTGCCTTCTTCTCTTTGATGAAACTGAAAGGCCTGGTGTGACGCACATTTCCAGAAACTGGTTTTCAAATGCCCGCCTTACAGCCTTTTTCCATGACCTGCACGTACACAGCGTCCATCTCTTGTGCAGTGAGCTTCTTGACTATAGGCATCCTGTTTAAAACTGTACCAGAATTCCAACCTTATTCCTGGCACAAACACACGTTTGTTAATTGGGTGTATGAATGGAATGCTTACTTGAGCATCAAAGACGGTACTTGCACCAAAACATGATTACTGTAGCAATAGATGTGCGAAGAAAATTACTTTGGATTTCAGAAAAGGGGAAGACTAATTTTGTCAGGGCTGAGCAGGAAAGGGTGTTACAGTTGCTCTCCTATGTGAGAAGGGGGTGGCCCAGTAAAGCACTGGAGATAGGGAGTTCAGGGTGAGTGGCCTCAACGTGGTCCTAGAGCAGACTTTACCAAAGGCCGACTATTTCAGCCAATCGATGGAGGTTAGAGGCACCCCGAGTGGCCTAGCTGATCTGTGATGGCAGTAGATGGTGCTTGATGGTTTCAAGTATAGTAGTGATTACCCTTTGTAAGACTGGGCAGATAGGCAGGTAGGGAGATGGTGAGGAAGTTCAGGTGAGGTCCAACCCCTTAGCGGGCAGCAGTGGACTCTGATTACCACTGACCTCAGGAGGTGGAATTGAGTCATTAAAGCCCTGGCATGCCTGGCATGATCAGAGTGAGTGCCAAGTACAATTTAGATGTAAAATAAAAAGTGAACTTAAGGCCTGAGAGATGGGTCAGCAGTTAAGAGCACGTCCTGCTCTTGCAGAAGGCAGAGTTCACATTTCCCAGCACCCACATCAGGTGGCTCACAACCATCTGTAACTAGTCCTCCAGGGGATCTCACACTCTCTTCTGGCCTCCATAGGCACCCTTACACACAAGCAATCACACAAACAAGCATATATAAAATAAAAATAAATCCTTTTTTTTTTAAAGTGTATTTAAGTCCAAGAAATATTTCTTTCCTGCATCATAATAGGTATTTTTTGTTGCTACCTTTGTGCCTTTTTGGTTTCTGGTTTTGAGACAGGGGCTCACTATGTAGTCAAGACACTGATCCTCCTGCCCCCACCTTTGGAATGCTGGGATTCCAAGTGTGCACTACTGTTCCTGGTTTCATGTGGTGCTGGGAATTGAACTGAGGGCTTTGTGCATGCTAGGCAAGCATTCTCCCAACTGAGCTACATCTCCAGCCCATCTTAGATGTTTTTGTGTTATATTAGCGTAAGACCCTTGCAAGGTCAGAACAATAACCCCCAGTTTTCATAGGTCACAGCCTAAATGAATGGTAGAGCTAAGATTGAAACCAGGCCTAACCGTGCAGGCTCTGAACATTTGCTTCCATTGGAAAGAGATCTTGGAAGTGATAGAGTTTAAGGAACATTTAAGTAATGGGGCAAAAAATAATCTGGTTGGCCATGGGGATTTAAGTATCCCTTTTAGTGTTTATCACTGCATAGGAACTATAACTCTGGTTCTCCCATGTATCACTGGGGAGACAATTTGTTAAGAGTTGTTAAATAAAACCTTGTTAAGTAACTGAAAGGGCAAAGATGCATGGAGGCAGCAGGCACAGGAAACAGCTATCAATCCTGGCCAAGAAGAAGGGATAAAGTTGGAGTGATTAAAATATATAAACATAGAGGAAAAGGTTTACAAAGCTGAAATTAAAACTCTAGGGCCTGGGAACTGTCCTCCCTGGCTCTAGGGTCTCTGAGCTTGGAAAAGTCCCGGGACTCAGACTTCTGAAGTGAGGGCCCAGGGAAGGGGCGGACTCTGTAAATGGCAAAATTGGCAGCTGTGTTAGTGGCTAATGGAAAAAGGTACTCCCAGTGGCCTGAGTGGTGAAGTGTTGCTGGGATGAGGCCTAGAGGAATAGGAATGAGCTAGGCCTTCCTGAGTCTCACAGGCAGATACCAGCCCCACAGTGGGAAGGGCAGTATGGGAGGTGGGTTTGGAACTTCAAGGCAGGGCTGTGTCCCAGATACCCAAGTTCCTGGTAATTATTTCTTCTTCCACAGGCTGGCTTTGCCACAGCTGACCTCTCTGGTCAGGAGCGAGAGACTGAGATGGCCATGGATCGACTAGGCAAGTAGACAGCAGAGACTGGGGTGGATGTTGGAAGAGATGGAGAAGGAACAGGAAAAGCCTGTGTCTTTTGTACTTTCTCATGCTAGCCTCTGCCAGGGAATCACCACTACCCAGTGTTTCAGTGGAGCCCTTATTTGGAAGTTCCAAGGAAGTACTGGACTTTCCCTGTATCCAAGCCACCCCTTTCCCTGGGAGGAACAGCTTGAGGCAGTGGAGAGTGTATAGACTGTAGCTAGGAAAAAATGTTTCAATTTCAGATCTAGTTCAGAGAGTCCAGGCCTGTGTTTTGTGGCCTTAGAAAAGTCACTTCGTCTTTCATTATCTTTAAAATGGGGCTGGTAATACCTCCTGGGTTGTTTCAGAGTTGGATACGAAGGTCTATAATGGTACTGCCCAGTACAATACCCACTAGACCCTGGTACTATGGAATTATAATTAAATAAATGAGAAATTCAGCCCCTTTGTGACCAAGCCCAGTGAGCGCATGTGACACGCCCCCACACTGCTGAACAGCATCACCTGGAGCATTTCTATCCAGGAAGAAAGTTCTCATGGCTAGTGCTGGTCTAGATAGAGCAAGTACAGAATGGTGTAAGCACAGCATCTGGATCTGGCGGTACTCACTGTATATGAGGCACAGCTCCAAGTGTTTCCCCTTTTTATTTCCTAAATAAACTCACAATAACCTAATAACTATTTTTTTAATGTGGCAAAAGATATATACTTCAAATGTACCACTTAACTATATCAGAACATACAGTTTGGTGATGTTCAGCACAGTAACAGTGTTGTACAACCATCACTGCTAGTTCCAGAATATTTGCATTACCCCAGAAGGAAATCTTGTATCTACAGGAAGACAGACTTCATTCTCTAGTTCCTGAGTCCCTAGCTACTGATCATTTTTTTTGTCTCTAATAATTGACTTATTATGGATAAGCATATGTGACTACTGACTGCAAATGTAATTATACAATATGTAGTATCCTTTGTCTGGCGTCTTTCAACTCAGTATGTTTTCAAGGTTCATTCACCACATAGTGGTGCATATCAGCACTTCACTGCTTTTGTGACTGAACCGTTCTGTACTGTTCTGCATTTTGTTGGTTATTCATTCACTGATGGACATTGGTGACTGAATAGTGCTGCAGTGAACGTCTAGTTTCATTTGATACTGCTTTTAGTTCTTTGGGGTATACAGTTACAGGTGGAATTGCTGAGTTATATGGTAATTCCACATTTAAGATATTAGAGAATTGGTAGAAATAATTTCAACTGAGTTACATTCTTAGTAATTGGCAGAGCAGGTCTGAACTCGGGCAGTTTGCCTACAGACGCCATGCAACTTCATTGCTTTCTAGCTGTGATTACAGTAGTAACACCATAGCAGTTTTCAGGCTTGCTCCTTCCCTGCCTCAGACCTGGTATCACCGTAATACTCCCATGATATGGAGGCCCATTGTCCTGCCCCAGGCCTTGTTACATTGCTATGGAGCTTCCCCTAGTTCAGGAGGAAGAATGTGGGGACTGGATGGGTGCTGCTCTTCTCCCGTTTTCCCTTTGTATTTGCACTCACTTAAGTGAGAGAGGAGAAATTAAAGAGAAAAATGCAGTCCTGACTTAAATAGTAAAAGCATACCGTTTGCCAGAAGCCCTGGACTCAGGGACACGCAAACCACCTAAAAATGTCACCTGTGCAAGGCCCTCTGTGTGAACTTACAGCCCAGGACTCAGTGGCTTTGTGTAAGATAAGCATCTTATCAAAAGAAAATAACGGACCCTGTTTCTAAAATATAAACTGAACACTGTTGGAATGCTCAGGTAACTAAGGGGGTGTGTCTACTTGTTTTACTATCCTTTTAGAAAGTCTGCCAGAAATTTTCTAAGTGTATGAGCAGATCTCCTGTAATTTTATCACCTTTGAAATCTTTTTGTTGATTTCTTAGCCAGTGGAGCCCAGAGCATCCCTAGTGATATTCCTACCCAGGGTGAGGGCCTATGTTCTGAAGAGGAAGGCTTTCCTGTGGAGGAGGAAGAGGCTGATGGGGAACTGTATGCCTGGGGGCAGCCAGGAGGAACAGCCTGTCCACCTGTGGAGCAGGCTGCAGATCTTTTCAATGAAGACTGGGACTTGGAGTTGAAAGCAGACCAAGGCAATCCTTATGGTAGGTTGGGAATTTCTGGGGTCCTGAGCCAGAGCTGCTCAGACCCTTCCAAGCTGCCTCTAAAGGCAAATAGTTTGGAAGAGGTACCTTATACATGAGTTCAGCCTCATCTTTGTTCTGGGACTGAAATTTATGATTGCTTCTTTGTCACAGCATATTACTGTGTTTTATCAAGGAGAAAATGCTCTTCTCTCCAGAAGTCTTTGAGCTGAGCAGCTCGTAAGGAAGTACTTTGTTAACCATCTGATTCCTTTTCACTGCTGAGAACTGTGTCTGAGAAGAACAAATTGACTGCTCAGAATGCCTTGTTTGCAGTTCCTCAGGAAAGGGTGTGCTTGTGTATATGTGTACACGTGTGTGTGTGTGTGTATGTGTGTGTACATATCTGTGTTGTTATTAAAATGTGTGTAAGCTTCGTTCCCCTAGACATTTTCTCGTGCAATCCATTTTATCTTTCCCTGCTTTCTCTAACCTGTTTTTTGAAACTGTCTGCAGATGCTGATGACATCCAGGGGAGCATTACTCAAGAGATCAAACCTTGGGTGTGCTGTGCCCCACAGGGAGACATGATGTATGACCCCAGTTGGCACCATCCACCTCCACTGATACCACATTATTCTAAGATGGTCTTTGAAACAGGACAGTTTGATGATGCCGAAGATTGAAGGTGGCACTTTCTGCCTTGTGGGTTTTTTTTGTGTATGTGTGTGTGCCTTCCTGATGAAGAACTGTTTCCTGTCTTTAAGGTGAGATATCCTACCCAAGACCATGTTCCCATTGGTTCCTGAGTATGGGCTACACACATTGTTGTGAGCTGAGGTCCCACTGCTTTTTCCTATTTTGTTGTTGTTGTTGTTGTTAATGGACCCTTTGGAATGTAGCAGCATTTGTGTCTGTATCAGAGGAAGTGTCTTCTTTATAAATAAAGGTAGGGGGGAAAAACAGTATGCTTTGCCTACATTTTAATTCTAATTAGGTTCTTCTGAGCAAGGCTTTGCTCCTTTAAAGTCTTCAAACTACATTTTAAGGATTGAAGTGTTTGGAGACCTAAAACTACTCTGAGAAAGATAAAGAATCTCAGTTTTGCTTCTGTGTATCTGGCACTTTTGAATAGGGATTGAAATCCATGAGTCAATGGTGACTAAGGCTGATTTCTATTCCTCTTGTAGGGAAAACTAAACATTTACTTAGTTTATAAGAATGTGAGGCTATGGGGCTAAGTGGTTAAGAGCACAGGATGCTCTTGCAGAGGATCTGGGTTTGAATCCCAGCACCCACATGGTAGCTAACAACCATCCGCAACTCTAGTTCCAGGGTATCCCGCACCCTCTTCTGTCTTCCATGGGCACTGCACGAAATGGGTGTACTTACATACATGCAGGCATTACACTTATACACATTAAATAAATAAATAAATAAATAATAAATATATATATGTATATATATATACATGCACACACACACACACACACACACACAAATGGACTCTAGCATAGTTGCTAAGAGAGACCTTGTTCCCTGAAACCTCACAAACGGAGCCTCTACCATATGCACTGCTCTCAGCACTGTCTTCTGGGCCTCTACTAGAATGGCGCACTAAGCTTTGCCTACAGCATTTTTACCTGCTTTTCTAGTCCTTTACCTGAATTTCTAGTCCAAAATTCTAAAGCCTTCCACATTCCTTCAAAACAAAACAAAACAAAACAAAAACAAAACAAAACAAAACAGTATGATCAGTGTCTTTACAGCAACCCTATTCCTGGTACCAACTTCTGCATTCATTATTCTTCTGTTGCTGTGATAAATTACCATGACTGAAAGCAACTGAGGAAGAGTTTATTTTGGCTTATGGTTCCAGGGGTCTAGAAGTCCTTAACAGTGGGGAAGTCATGGGGGCAGAAGCAGGAAGCTGAAAGTTCACATCTCAATCACCATAGGAAGCAGTGAAAGAGGGAACTGTAAGTGGGGAGCTACAAACTCTCAAAGCCCACCCTCTCCATGTCCTAAAGTTCTATAACCTCCCCAACCAGCACCACCACCTGAGGACCAAGAGTTCAAATATATGAGCCTATAGGGGACATTTTTCTTTCAAACCACCATAATTATACTATAGAAATTTAATCACTGGTCAAGTGCACAGCACAGTCATAAGAACACAATCCTTTTATCTACACAGAGCTACATAAAGAGCTTGAGACCAGCTTGGGCTTCAGTGAGATTTGCATGTTGTTGTGTGAACTGTTCCTGGGGAGACATGAACAAATACCTACGCACCCCAGATAGGGAACCAACGTGACAGAATGTATAAATTGCAGAAGAGCCACAGGCCTCATTAGGGAATGTCGTAAGTCCCTTAAAGTGTCTAACTTGGCAGGCTGGCCTTGCTCAAGCCTTATTAACTGGTTACTCCCTGGACTGAGGGAGACTTAATGGAGCCAACCTGTCTCCTTTAGTGCCCTAAGATAGCTCACCTGACTGAGAAAATAATCTTGGGAGGAAGACCCTCATCAAGGACATCAGACCCTGGCACTGAGTAAACGCCTGCAGCTGTGAAGAGAATTCCTATAAAAGCAGAAGCTGCCCCTCCCTTGGATGCAGATGCTCTCATTCTGAGGAAAGGTTTTTCTGCCCTTTGCTGTGTTCTCTGAATGAAGGACACATTCCTTGCCTGTTGCAGGTCTGACTCTGTTTCTTATTTCTTAACTTTAAACTCCATTCCTTTTTTTGCTCTCCTAAATCTAACACAAGAACAGACCAAAGTAAGGATTGCACCAAAATCCAACTTGGTGAACCAATGAGTTTTATCTGGGTTTTTCGCAGGAATATAGATGAAGGGTTACTTACTAAAGCAGAAATGACTTACAGACAGGTCCTCTGCAAGAGCATTACAGGCTTTTAACTGCTGAGCCATCTTCAGCCCAATATAAGTATGCTTAACAACAAAACCCCCTTTCTATCGTTTGAAGTAAAATTCCAATGATAAATGGAAATTTATTAAAATTTTCTGCAAAAACATTTTAAAACATCCTTTTTCCTTTGGTCTTTTTGAGACAGGGTCTCCCTGTAGCCCCAGCTGTCCTGGAACTTACTATGTAGACCAGGCTGGCTTTGAACTCACAGGGATCTGCCACAAGGCCAGCCTAGTCTACACTGCAAGTCCAGGCCAACAGGGCTACATAGTTGAGACTCTGTCTCAACCCTCCCCCCAAAAAAAACAAAAACAAACAAAAATCCCAACAGCAACAACAACAAAAATATTTTAAGCAATGATTTAGAGAGTAGCAGGACTCCATTTTAGGGAAGCAAGCAAGTCTTTTTAAGTACAGGCAGATCATACAAAAATTTTATTAACAGCCTAGATATGGAGCACTCGTTCTACTTGAAATACCATTTTAAATGAATGGACCTTTGCGGCAAAGCAGAATGATGACTTTCTGGTCAAGATAGTGACCATTTCATAACTCAAATATCAAATGAATTGTTCTAAGAATTAGAGAATCTGGAGTATTTTAAATTGGACAAATATGGCCCTTAAAATTCTTAAAATTTTGTTATGAGCTGGGTATGGTGGCACATACCTGTAATCCTAGCACTCAGGATGCTAAATCAGAATTGCTGTGAGTTCAAGACCATCCTGGGTTTCAGTGAGTACCAGGCCAACCAGGGCTACATAGCAAACCTTGTCTCAAACAAAATATTTTTGGGGCATGGCAGAGCATGCCTTTAGTTCCAGCACTTGGGAGGCAGAGGCAGGTGGATTTCTGTGAGTTCAAGGCCAGCCTGATCTACATAGTTAGACTCTGACTTAAAACTAAAAAAAACAAACAAAAATTAAAAATTGTTCAAAGCAGCTGAGCATGGTGGCACACACCTTTAATCCCAGCACTCGGGAGGCAGAGGCAGGTGGATCTTTGTAAGTTCAAGGCCAGCCTGGTCTACATAGTGAGTTCTAGGCCAGCTGGGGCTACAGGGAGACCCTGTCTCAAAAAAGAGAAAAATAAATGTTCAAAACTTAGTTGGCACATAGCCTCATTACACACAACAGCCTCCTAGAAACCCAGTGATCTAGGGTCCATCCAGCCTCAGCCTGAGGCCTTTCCTGTGTTCACTGGGACCTGGATATCCAGCAAGGAGGTGACTCTCAGCTGGTCATACAGGGGCTGTGTGAAGACCTGCAGACACTTTGCTCCCTCATATCCTGGGGCTATATAGGGAAACCCTGTCTCAAAAGAGAGAGCCAGGTGTGGTGGTGCACACCTTTAATCCCAGCACTTGGGAGGCAGAGGCAGGAGGATCTTTGTGAGTTCCAGGACAGCTGGGGCTACAGGGAGACCCTGTCTCAAAAAGACCAAAAAAAAAAAAAAAAAAAAAAAAAGAGACAGAAACAGATAAGAGATCAAGGTAATTGGGTCATGGAGCCTTCACTCTCATAATGGATTAATGTTGTCTCATGGGATTGGAATAGTTTACAGGGGTATGGGCTGTCATTAAGAAAAATCCAGCCTGGCCTCTCTCAGGCCCCTCATCATGCCACATGATCTCCTTTCTCTCTCATAGTTACCCTTCCCATGATGCTAGAGACCCTAAGCAGAAGCCAGGCTTTCCTGGCAACACATGCCCCCTAGAAGTCACCAACTTCAAGAGTTGCTGAAGCAATGCAAGGACTGCCCTTTCTCTCTGCATGTAGGAACACGTTCTACATTTCCGTTTGACAGCAACCATCCCTTTCCAGTCTTTTAGCAATATCCCGTTCATAATTATGGAAGCTTTCTCTCCCACATGGGGATACAGCAAGGCCCCTTGCAGGGAAGTGACTCAGCTGGCACCTTGTCTTTACTTCTGTCTCCAGGACTGTGATAAAAGGTTAAGCCACCTTGCACTTTTCTGCTGTAGAGGCACAAACTGCCAAACTCAACATCTTTTTAATTCTTGAAGACAATTCCAGAATGTGGACATCTTTTCTCCTTATGCAATTTACCAGAATCTCCAGAATTAGCTGAAATATTTTCATATAAGATTAAGCAATTCCATCAGTGCATTGTAAGATCTAGTTCCATTTCCTGGGTAACTGTCTTTGTTAGGAGGTACTGGCACCACAGGCATCTGTGATGATGCATGGTCTCTATACCCAGCCAGTCTCCTAGGACCTTGACTAGGCTGCCAGTGGGCCACAGCTGTTTCCTAAGGCATGGTTACAGAATTCACTTTCAAGTTCTCTTTTAGATGCATAAACACAAATATTTCAACTTTCCTCATTCCATACCTCTAGGTGCATCTCACAATTTTTGTCATGTATTTACTTACCATCACTTGATGCAAAATGATTTCTAAACTTTTGTTTCATCACTCAGATGGGTGTCACTCTCCAAACTTCTGAAACTTTTTGTTCTATTGATTCCTAACTTGATTCCACAATGATAAGGATTTACAAATATTTCAGTTCTTGGAGGTTTAAATTCATTCTAAGGCTTGTTCATGTCAATGTGTACTTGGAAATATGCCTAACCTCCAATTTCTGATAGTAAAAGATATATAGTACCTAGGGAAGTTCAGATCTATGTAGCACTTATATTTACAAGCTCCTCATTTGAGGGGAATTAGTTGTCCCACTATTTTTCAGTTCATTAGCCTGTATTCTATATATTTTGAAGCTACAGATGTACAGTTCCAGTTGTCACTGAATTCATCCCTTGAATTGCTGGTTGGTGCACGTCTTTTCCTAAATACTACTTGATGAGCCAGGGCTGAGAATGCAGCAGTTTACCAACTTGCCTAGCAAACACAAGGTACCCATGTTCAGTGCCCAGAATCATACAAAACCAGGCATGGCAGGGTATGCCTGTAATTCCAGCATTTGGGAGGTAGATCAGAGGAAAGTTCAGCTACACAGCAAGTTCAAGGCCAACTTGGGTTGCATGAAACCTATCAAAAGCAAACACCCAATTTGACTTGTTTCGTATTTGAGTGGCATCATTTTTTCTTTAAATTTTGTTCTGTTTAATGTGTGACCTTTAATAGAACATAGCCACATTTTACAGTTCTACTGACCATGTGTTTGTCTTCCATTTGGGGTACAGAGGCCACTTACATTTGTTGACCAGACTCCAACTGTGCTGGATAGCTTTAGTGTCAACTTGACACACCTGGGTTGAGGGAGCCTCAATTGGGGAATTACCTCTATTGGACTGGCCTGTGGCCATGTCTGAGGGGCATCTTCTTGATGAGTGATGTGGGAGGGCCCAGCCCACTGTGGGTGGTGCCCCCCGGGGCAGATGGGCCTGTGTTGCATAAGAAAGCAGGCTGAGCAGGGGCCAGGGGAGCAAGCCAGTAAACAGCGTTCCTCCATGGCCTATGCTCCAGCTCCTGCCCTGAGTTCCCACCTTGGGGTCCCTGATGAACTACGACCTGGGAGATGTAAGCTGAATAAACCCTTTCCTCCCCAAGTTGGTAGTGCTGTTTTGTCACAGCAATGAAGAACAAACTAAGACACCAAACTATTTGACCCCTAAGGTAGAAATAGATCTTCTGAAAAAGCCAAACTTGGTAGAACCTGGATTTCTTTCTCATGTTATAAGCAAAGCTACAGGTCAACCAACCACAACTGCAGACTGCTAGTTAAAAAAATTCTTTAAAATTGAGTGCCACAGTGAAAATGAAATTCACTGTATTAATCTTGTCAATTTGGTGTACTGAGACACTTAGGACATTAGTCAAGCAGACCTCTGGTGTGCCTGGCAGGGCATTTCCAGAATTATGGAAGGCTCTGCCCTGACCAATGGTTTAAGCCACTGATGGATTCACAGCTGAACAGACTGTTGGGAGGTGGTGAAAAGGTAGAAGGTGAGGCCTACTTGGAGGAAGTACATCAGTAGGGATGTGCCTTAGAGGGAATGGATCTGGCCCTGGCCCCTTCCCATTACTTTTTTCTGCTTCCTGGCTGCCGTGAGGTGAGCAATGTTCCTCTGCCATGCTTCTGCCTTCTGATGGCCCACATGCAATGGAGCCACCATAGACTGAAACCTCCAAATCCATGAGCCAAAATAAACCTTTCCTGTTTTTCCTATTTTTTCTTTCCCTCGTGGTCACGAAGTCTTGACTACAACATGGTTATTAAAAGAAAGCACACAGGAAGATGCTGACATAAAAGCCTTTTTAATTTGGTTGATACACATTTAACAAAATATCTTAGAATAAAATAATCCATGAACGAGGTTATTTACAACAAAAAAACTGTGAAAAACAAAATTAAAATACTTCTCAAACAGGAATGCCTCTAAGTTTGGTTTGAAATAGGGTTTCACTATGCTGCCCAGGCTGGTCTTCAATTCCTGGGCTCAAGTGATGCTCCCTACTTTAGCCTCTCAAGTAGCTGGGTCTACAGGTGTGCACCGCCACAATGGCTCTATTTATAAAATTTTTTTATTGTGAAACTGGAAGACTTTCCACTCCTACCCATTACCCTGGTCTTGAGCCCAAACAGGGGCCATGTAAGGCCCAGGAGTAGGAGGTACAAACTCTAACACATTTGGCAATTAAGGCTCAATCATCTGTTAATGTGAGCTGGCCGGAAAGAGAAGGGCAAGATACCATATGAAGACTCCATTGGCAACTAAGGGCAAGTGTGACCCTGAACCACAATGGCCTTCTTGGCCTCCTGCAGAAAATACCAAATTGCTTTAAATACCTACTCAACTGTCCTGTCAGCAGAAAACCAGTGACCCTAAACTAAGACTCCAACTCTCTATAATAATAAACATCTAGAAACTATTACAGATTTATGAACTAATTTTATTTGACCAAAGAGAAAATTATGACTCAAAAACACATTTAAGGTAACGAAATTTTTCTCAAATTTATGTTCCACGCCAAATTCCTAAACATCCCACCTATCTTTTTTTAAATTGGGGATTGAGCCCTGGGACTGATGAAGTATCAGCACGCTAGGCAAGTGCTCTACCACCGAGCCCTCTACCTAATGACTTCTATGATCTGAGATCAGTTTTTACACACACACACACACACACACACGGGGGGGGGGGGGGGGGGGGTAAGGGGGGGAGGGTTTAATTAGGGTTAAAATTTCTCTTGTTTATTAAATGGAAAGCCTAGTTCCTTGTATTACCACTAAAATATGTTTAAAGAAAATGAATTGCATCCATCTGGAATATATAAATGTAATGACTTAAAAAATAGGCAGTCACATAAACAAGAGCTCATGAAAAAATAACCAAGTGCTTATTCTTTGTAACACTATTAAGACAAGTAAATGGGATACACTGCACAACACCACCTACAGATCTAACTAGGCTACTTAACAAGCTACAATTTTGGCAAACATTGAAGGGCAAGTACTGACATGGTGCTTGAAGACTAGATCTGTGGCTCTTCCAGGGGCGATTCGAGAGCTTCCATCAGCTTCTTATTTGCCTCTTCATTATGCCGGCTTTGACAATGAGTTAAGTGTTTCTTAAAGCCTCTTGGGAAATTTGATTCAAAATTACAGCGTGGACATTTAAGTAAACTTTGCCCATGGGCTGCTACATGATTTTTAAGGAGAGACTCCAAAAGAAATGCCTTTCCACAAATTGTGCACTTGTATGGGCTGTGGACATTGTGCTTATTAACTAAGTGATGCAAAACAGCACCTTTTTTCATAGCACGACAGCAACAAATTTTGCAATAATATTTCCCTTTTCCACGCTTCATATACTTTGCAATCTCCTCTTCGGAGATGAACGCTTCCTTCTCTTCAGTGAACTGTAGCACATTTTTGGACTGCTCTGGACTACTCATCTCCATTTTATTCTCTTTGCTGAAATCAACAGATTCGACATCTACCTGCTCTTGATCACTGCTTGATTCTTGACCCCTGATATCTACAGTATCTGAATCTGTTCTGACGTGTTCACTGCTACTGAGCTCAGCATCTGAGTTCTCCTGGCTGTCCTTCTTGAGCTTCTTAGAGGAAGGGAATAAAGCATCTTCTAAAAGTTTCTTAGGTATAGAACCTATAGATATAGCTTCTTCCTGGACCAGAGGATCAGACTGGGTGTCATCAACAGCTTCCAGCTGTAGCTCATCATTAAGCTCAGTGGCCTTCTGAGCCTCTGAGAATACAGCAGACTTGGTGAGCTCAGAGAAAAGTACATGCTTCCGGGACTCTGGGAAAAGTACACGCTTTCGTGGCTCTGGAGAAACAGGAGGAACTGTTTTGGTGGGCTCAGGAAAAAGTGTGGACTTCCTAGGCTCAGCATCAGTAGAGAGGACAGGCTTCCATATATCAGAGGCTACTTTGGGGGACTCAGATGGCCCAGAAGGACCTGGTTTCCGTGTCTCAGGGAAGACATTAGACTTCTGAGACTCCAAAATAAAGGAAGACTTCCGGAGATCAGGAGAACTGCCAGGGGAACTTTTCTGGGACTCAGAAAAATCTAGGGAAGCAGGGGAAGTTTTCCGCTGGTCAGGAGCAAGCTTCCAAAGGTCTGGTGACCCTGAAGGCTTCCTGAGCTCTGGAGAACCTGCTGGACTGCGGATCTCTGGGGAGAGGGGTGGGCCTGGTCTGCGAAGCTCAGGAGACACAGGGGGAACTGCCTTCCAATGTTCAGGTGACAAAGTGAGAGCTGTCTTTCGGAGCTCTGGTGGGCCCGACTTCCACGACTCTGGAGATGTGGGGGAAGTTTTCCAAGAACCAGATGAAACTGAAGACTTCCAGGATGCAGAGGACATAGATGGAGTTGGTTTCCAAGGCCCAGGTGATATAGAAGGAATTGGCTTCCAAGGTCCAGGAGACACAGATGGAGCAGGCTTAGTTGATTTCCAAGGTCCTGAAGTCGCTGAAGGACTAGACTTCCAAGGCCTGGGGGAACCAGGTGGCCCTGGCTTCCAGGAACCTGGTGAAACAGCTGGGGCTGGTCTCCGAGGCTCTGGAGAGATGGCAGGGAATGGTATCCAAAGTTCAGGAGACTCTGATGGAGATGGCTTCCTTGGCTCAGGGGAGGCAGTCCGTGCTGGCTTCCTAGACTCTGGAGATGGAGCTGGGGATGGCCCCCAAGGCTCAGGGGAAGTGGCCAGAACTGGTGACTCTGGGGACAAGGCTGAAAGTGGGGGTCCTGTATCTGCAAAGGGTGAGTGCTTCTGGGGCTTGGAGCTAGCAAGAGTAGACTTTACTGGCTCGGGAGAAACGGGGATAACCTTCTGTGGCGCAGGAGAAGGAACTCGGTCAGGCTTCTGTGGTTCAGAAACCACAGAGGCTGGTTCTGGACATTCAGGGGAAGAAACAGGAGCAGGCTTTGAGAGCTCAGCAGGAAGACAAGGGGCCTGTTGCTCAGAAGAAACAACAGGGCTAGGGTTCTGAGGCTCTAGGGAAGGAGGAACAGAATTTGGTGACTCTGGAGACAAGCCTGGACCAAGTTTCTGTGTTTCTGCAGGGAGGGTTGGGGTCGGCATTAGTTCTGTTGGGCTAGAGGGTGTGTTCTGGTGTTCAGGAAGAGAAAGGCTTTTCACAGGATCTGTCTCTTTGTTCAGTTGGTTTTTTGGCTTATCATTCCACTTCTCTGGGGCCGAATGTTTGGATGTGATGTGATAGTACACATTAGAGTACATCTTGCTGGTGAAAAAGCACTTATGGCAGTGAAAGAGCTTTGCACTCTTCTGGTAAAATATCATCTTGCCCAGTCCGCCAGCATCCATATCATCACAGAATTCGGGATGGATGGTGCCCATATGGATCTGCACATTTTCATAATCAGTGCCTCTGAAACCACAGTGGTCACACTCCAGGCTTGCTGATGGTTTATGCAGTTCCTGAATCACTTCCATCTTTTTTCTGTCACAACACAAATGACTTGGTCTTTAAAGACTTTCAACACTGCAGCAAAAAAGTAGAAAGAAATTTTCATGGGACACTATGCTGCATAAAATGCTGTCCACTTTATATCTGTATATTTTAAGTCTAAAAGAAAGACATATGCTTTACTAATTATCTCTACAAGTTTTCAAGGAAAGGGAGGATTACTTTCCACAACATCACAATTCTCTGCTACAAATTTTACACAGATCATCTCATTTAATACTAACATTATCACTCAAACATTATTTTCATTTATAGATGAAGAAACTGAGTTTCAGAGAAATTAACTGACTTACTTTCTCTAGGTTTTAGGACTATCAATTTCCCAAGACTGACCTCAGGCTGACTTACTGTATGGCTTTACACTTGGATGCTAAAATCCTAAACCAACAAGTTGTCATCATACAAATGTGAAAAATATCAAGATTAGATCTAGGTGATTTAAAGGTAAGAAAGAAACATTAAATCCTTTCAAGAAAATGATTAAGTCCAGATATGAAAAGATTATTTTAACTAGATCCTGGTTTGACTTCTTATCAATATTTTCTGAATGTTTTATCAATCCTATGATTAAATGTAGCGAACAAAAACTGTCAGATGTCCTAAACAAGACCCCACAGAGCTCTCCAGAGCATGCCAGCAACTGGCAGCTCAGAGGGGGAGGTAAGGCTAGAAGACAGCTGCCAGAAAGGAGGACTTTTTAAAATTTAAGCCAGCTTTCTTCAATGTACCTAGAGTTGAGGAAATAAATGTTCCAGGCACATACGAGAATACATAATGTTATACAGATAGACCATACTAAACCTACTTATCTACCTGCTTTAAGAAAATATCTATGGCATTTTTACATACAAAGTAAGTATAACATTCCCTTCTAGCCTTTGTATGTGAAAGTATTTCTGCAGATAATACTTCTAGTAGTACAATACTTGGTTCAAAAGCTGTTTGCATTTTAAATTACTGTATTCCATACCAACAGTATATAAGAGAATTCCCCAATGCCTCAAAACTGAAAATTAAAACTCCAAATCCTTGCTATACTTAGGCAGCAACTAGTATCTTACTATGTTAATACGTATTCCTTTCTTTTGAAAATGTGCTTTTTAAAAATTTATTTAGTTTTGTTGTTTTAGGCAAAGTCTTGCTAGGTAACTCTGGCTGGACTGGTACTATGTAGCTCAGGCTGGCCTGAAAACTCAGGACAATCCTCCTCCTGCCTGGGTCTCCTGAGTGCTGAGAGTATAGGTGTACATGACCACTTTCCCTTTTAATGTGCTTTTCTTTCGTGAGAAAGACTGAACAATTTCCCTACTAGCCTTATTTCTAAAATAAGATATTAGGTCACTTTCTTTGTTCATTTTTCTATTATTTGTGAATTTTTAATTACAAAGAAATTAGCCTTTTTATTTAAATCATTTTTTCCAGTTATCATTTATCTCTTTAACTTTGCTATTTTTATTTAACCACACACAACTTGTTTACATAGGAAATTTCCAACTTAAGGCCATCTTTATTCTGTGGGTTTTAAAGTATACTTTCTTTTCTTTGTGTCTGAGCCAGGTGGTCTCTTTGCAGCTCAAGTGAGCCTCAAACTCTGGATCCTCCTGTCTAGGCCTCCCACGTGCTGGGATTACAAACGTATCACCACACTTGGCTTAAATTATGCTAACCTCCATTTTTAAAAATAATTTAGTATGTTTTTCCTAATTTGATAATTTCATTCTTTTTTTTTACATTGGTAGCCTTTAGTTTGTTATTTTGGCTTGTTTTTTGGGGTGTCCTGGGGATTGAATACAAAGCCCTATACATGCTGGCAAGTGCTCTACCCTGCACTCCCCCCGCTAGCCACATTACATTTACAGAGCATGCTATTCACAGCATGGGAGCCAGCAACTGATAAAACACAGTGAGCTTATTCACCAAGCACATTGCAAAATCTTTTCTCATTATCAAGTGCAGTGACATGTGCCCACAGTCCCAGCTATTCAGGAAGCTGAGGCAACAGAATCACTTGAACCTAGGAGCGAGTTCTCAGGCAGGCCTAGGCAACATGATGAGACCCCGTGTCTAAAAATAAATCTATTTTCTCATTAAATGATGCTCCACCATTTACAGAAAGTATGAGCCACGGCTGAGAGCATGTGATATGCTTTGTGAGAAAGGGGATGGTGTGGGTTCCTCTCCATGAGAGACCAGCAGAGACTACAGCACTTAAAACTAAAGGTTTGCCCTTTATTAATTCCAAATACAACAAACAGAGTAATTTAATAACAAGGTAAGATTTTTTTTGTTTTGTTTTGGTCTTTTGAGACAGGGTCTCCCTGTAGCCCCAGCTGGCTTGGAACTCACTGCGTAGACCAGGCTGGCCTTGAACTCACAGCGATCTGCTGCCACCATGCCTGGCTTAGAAAATGTTTTCAAGGTTAAAAAGACTGTAACAGAACAAATTATAATTTAGCACTATAGAAACATCTCTTACATGATCCGTAACTTCCAAATAGGAAGAAAATATGTAGAAAAAAGAATGCATTAACTGCTTTCAGAGCCTAATGTTCAATAAAACTAGATGACTTCAGAGAAAAACAAAGTATGTGTCTCAATAACCTCATCTGGCTCTAAGTGGCAATAGTCAACAGCCAAGAGAAGCTTATCCTGTGTCACAGGGACACCACTGCAGAGGTATGCGCTTACTGCCCTCTGCTCCTCTAGTAGCAACTCTCCTGGCCACCAGTAAAGTCCCATTAACAAATTTGCCTACTGTGGAGTCTCCATTATACTTTAATAACTTCCTACTTTTAAAAGTTCTTTAGAGTGTTATAGTTTCCAAATTCTACCACAGGTGAGCATGCAGCACCTAGAGATGGGTGTGGGATACACAGACGTGTAGGCATATGAATGTCCTCACACTGTGAGAGACAGTGGTACGCATTTGCAGTTTTTCCTCAAGAACGGCAAGAACTTTTCAAATTTTTTCTAATCATAAAATATTCTCCTAAACATTAAAAAAAATGAGTTGTTTGTTTAGACTCTTACTTTACAGCCCAGGCTGGCTTCAAACTCACAGTAATTCTCCTACCTCAACATTCTGAGCACTGAGCTTATAGGCATGTGCCAACCAGTCTGGCTGCAAAAATGAGAAAAAAATATTAAAGGCAAACAGATAAGCAAATAAAAATACCTGCACAATAATACTTTATAAGTCATGGACAAATGCTTTTGGAGTTAGGAAGAGAGCTGCAGCTTTCCCTGCTAGACTTACCAGCTATCACGAGACACCCTAAAGGTGGTCCTCAAAGAGCAGGCAGTTACATGGCTTTTTTACTAATCCATGGAACAACATAGAGTAGGACAAAAAGACGATGAGCCTGAAAAACAAAACAGAAAGCTCATCAAAATTGTATCCGTTCTGATCCTAACCCTGTAAAGGAATCTTGTGTATTTCCTTTCCCACAGGGTTTCCTCCAACACTGAAGAGCCAATCCAGCACACCTGGATACTTGCTTTATTGGAACAGCACCAGAGCCTGTGGCAGACACCATTCATGATTCTGTCACCTAATTTCACACGACAATCTACTACAAGAAGAATTAGACTCTTCTCAATCCTATCATCTAACTTCAGTTTATGCAAGTTCGGGAAATATTAATTTACATTTCTGACAAGCATTCAGACTCCTTGTGGAATGACATTGTTTAAACAACAACAACAACAACAAAAAAAAAACCCAGACATTCTGTTCATCCTAACCATATGCAATGGTAGAGACCACCACAGTCAAGAGGACCAAGGGGCAAGGAAGAGGACTCTGGCAGGAAGCATGCACTTCAATAACAGCTCTGGCCTCTTCCTTTGTGCAAGAGAAAGCATCGTCCTCTGGATGAGTTTAAAACAAAATGGGCTGAGCTGGCTATACACAGCTAACTCCTGGCAACACACTTCTGATAAGCCAGCATATTCACCAACCCTTTCCTACCCATCACCACTTTAATTCTGACACCAACCTCTCTTCTTCCTAATCTACACATACTAAGTCATCTCCCAAATCCAAAAGTGTAAGTTTCCTGGTCACATTTCCTCGAAGTCTCCCAGACATCTGCAGTATAAATCTCAATATGGCACATAAAGTTCTTTAGTCTAACCCTGACCATACTGCACTTTCAACACTAATCACATGTAATAGAATTCCCTGACTCTTCAAGCTTCTTGGTCTTTCCCCAAGGCATTTCCTCTCCTACACAGTCCATCTTTTTACCCACCCTTTAGGCAAATCCATTCATCCTTCAGATAGGACTTTTTTTTGGTCTTTTTGAAACAGGGTCTCTCTCTGTAGCCCCAGCTGGCCTGGAACTTGCCATGTAGACCAGGCTGGCCTTGAACTCACAGAGATCCACCTGCCTCTGCCTCCTGAGTGCTGGGATTAAAGGCGTGCGCACGATAGGACATTTTTAAAATCACAGCAAACTTTCCCACTCCCTCTCAGTCTCCCTTCACTATGTCACATGCACACTTCCACTGTAGCAGTCACCATCTGCCACTTCAGCTTGACACCAGGCCACAGCTTTCATAGAACCAGCACAATCCATCCATTTGTTCACCTCTGTAATCTGTGCATACTCCTGGGTATGCTCAGAAAATATTTCATCAATCCTAACACTATTCCATGAATAGTGTGAACCCAATCTTAACACTCATGAATTTAAAACTACAGGCTGTGTACTCATCTCAAGAATCAATAACTCCAATCCATAGTGGAGGAAATTCAAGGCTGTCAAATGGCCTGCATAACACCAAGCAAATACCAACATCTGACAAAGGATGAAGAAAAATTCTGCTAGCTAACTGGATTCTTTCTAGGACACCATGATCAAATTAACACAGACTTGCTAAGATGGTGAAAAGCCAGTACAATGAGCCAAACTAGATGTGCCTTCTCAAGCATTTATAATCCATGCATCATTGCATAAGCATAGGAATACGTGCTCCTTATAGCACAGCCCTCCAGTATCCAGCTCTGGGTAGAAAGAACTCTTTAACAGTCTCTAACAGGTACAGGGGGTGTGGCTCAATGGTATAACACTTGCCTAGCACGCATAAGGCCCTAGGTTTGATCCAATCACTAACACTAGGGAGGAAAAAAGGGGGTTCTTCTAGAAACCTAAGAAATAGCAAAACAAATCATGTTGGCAAGCAATATTTAAAAAGTGACTTGTGAGTGTAGACATTTAACATCAAAAAGGGAAAATTATGGATAAAACAGAAAACTTTTTATATAAACTGCTTCACCATGAACTGGAACAGGTGCTTTGTCAGTAGGACCACAATGAAGCCAGCAAATGGTACAGAATCAAAAAAGTTCAAAGAGGATTTGAATCCAAACTCTTCACTTTACAAAGTAGAAAAATGCTGAGAAGCAACGCCTAAAGATCACATAAGTCAAAGAAATCAACAGAAAAATATTCCTGATTCTGGATCTCTGCTGAAACACAACCCCTTACATGGTTGAACAATGCTCATGGACTGCAGTTCAGAATCCAAAGCTGCTAACACTAACAGTAAAAATAATTCACTAAGCCAGGTGTGGTGGTGCACCCCTTTAATCCCAGCACTCAGGAGGCAGAGGCAGGCAGATCTCTGTGAGTTCAAGGCCAGCTGGGGCTACAGGGAGACCCTGTCTCAAAAAGATCAAAAAAAAAAAAAAAATCGCAACTAGTCCCATCCAGTTTTTTCCTTGAGATCTAATACTATTGATTGTCTTTTAAAATACATTTGATGTACAAATGTTGATACTAAAATCCAACACATGGTGCATGTTTAAAACTAACTGGTAGCGATGGCTAATCTTTGTTGTCAACTTGACACAACTGGCAAGAGGGAGCCTCAAGTGAGGAATTCCCTCCATCAGATTGGCCTGTGGGCATATCTGTGGGGCATTTTCTCCATGATATAGTCAGGCCCAGTCCAAAGTGGGCCTGGGAGCAACCCGGTAAGCAGCGTTCCTCCTTGGTTTCTGCTTCAGTCTCTGCTTGAATTCTTGTCTTGACTTCCCTCAACAATGAACTGTAAGCTGCAAAATGAAATAAACCCTTTCCTCCCCCAGGATGCTTTGGATGGATGTTTTATCACAGCAAGAGGGGAAATTAGGACATTAGCTCTGTCAGTCTGTAGCACTGTTCTTTGTTACTAGCTTTTTCAAGTTATAAAAATTTCGAGTGGTTTGTGTTTAAAGAAAAAAAAATAGAAATCACAAAGAATTCCCATATATGTCTACGTCTGTTTCTATTATTAATAATTTTCGTTAATTAGCAGAGGAGGCGGCAGATTTGGAACTGATAGAACTTTTTTTTTTCAGGAGTGCTGCAGTGGAACCCAAGGATCACCATGCTGAGCACTGGCTCACGCCGGAGCCACACCTCCAGCCTAAGTTGTTACAGCTGGGGCAGGGGGTGCTCCTTTCGTGCTCTGGTCATACGTACAGCTGCATGTCATCCATGCATCATTAAAGCTCCCCGTGCTTCTGGCAAGCACTGATCTGTTTAACGTAGGGGTGGAACTGCTGGGGCGTGGGATGGCTTTAATTTTAAATTTGGGGGAACCACGAGACTGACACCAGTTTACGTTCCCACTGCAAGGCTTCAGAGCTCTCTCTGGTCCTTTCTTGGAAACACCAAGCTCGCGCTCGCAGCCATCTGAATGGCTCCCCAGAACAAGGCCAGCTCTACGCCGGGTCTACGTCTGGGCTTCCCGGCTTCGCGACTGCAGCCCTACAGCAAAATGCACCGCCCACCGAGCCCCTCCCATCCAGCGAGCCGCCGGCCGCACAAGCAGAACCTAAGGACAGGAGGCCGGCAGCCAGCGCTGCGCTCGGGCCTCCAGGCCTCGGCGCGCTGCCCCATCAGGCGCCCGCCCTCCCGTTCGCACCAAGGCACCCACGCCGGAGCAGAGTCCGCACCGAGGCGCCCGCCGCACCGCCAGCACGAAGGCGCCCGCCCACTCCTCACCTCGGGCGAGGTATCCGTGAGTGAAGCGAGGAAACGCCCAAAGGAAACGCTGAGCTTGCTCCAAGGACTCCCGAATGGCGGCTGGAAACAGGACCTTCCCGGAAGTGCCGCTTGCCCGCCCCGGAAGTGCTTTCGAGCGCCTCCTCGTGTCTGCTCCCGGGAGCGGAAGGTTCTCCTGCTGGGCGGGGCTCGAGGGGTTTCTCGGCTGCCCAAGGCCTAGGAGGCCCCTTGGCGCTGCTTGGGGACCCGCTCTCCACGCCTTCTTTCCATTATCACCCTGAGGATTTTTGTTTCTCTTGTATGAACGACACTTTCATCGGCATATTGCCCATGGTAAAAATACAGGACACGCCAAGGGTGGTGGCGTAAGCCTTTAATCCCAGCACTCGGGAGGCAGAGGCAGGCGGATCTCTGTGAGTTCAAGACCAGCCTGGTCTGCATAGTGAGTTCCAGGACAGCTGGGCTACAGGGAGACCCTGTCTCAACAAGGCCAAAACCAAACAAACAAAAAACCAAAAAACCAGGACACATAAAATCCTAGAAGAGCGTGAAGAGCTCTCATTGTCTCTAATTCAACCCCGGAAAGCATCTTCAATTATGGTTGAAATGAAGCCTTTAGCTTCAGTCTTAGTCTATTTCCTTTGAAAAATTGTGAAGTTGCTTAGCTTACGTTACTTTATACACCTATATACCTTTTTCCCTTTTTATTTCAGTTTCTTGTGTTTTTGTTTTGGGTGTTGAGACGTATGAACCAACCCAGAGCCTCTTCATCTAAGCAGCCCAGGCTGCCTGTCACATAAAACACAAGGAATTAAATCCTTAAATCATGCTTCGCTCAGACAGCCCGCGATCTTGGAAGTCAGAGAGAAATCTGCTTTCCTCAGTCTTTTTCCTATTTTGTGTGTGTGTGTGTATGTTGGGGGGGAGGTTTGGTTTGGTTTGGTTTTTTTTAGCATTCAGGGGGCCAGCACTGGGGACACTTGATGTCTTTTCTCGCCCAACAGGCTACACAGCACCCTTCGGAACTGTGTAAGCTAGCCAGCAGGGTGAGAACTTCATCAATGGAGCTTGATTTCTGTATGCCTTGCATACAAAATGAGTGGTGTCCTCAGTAATAACGTTACTGTCTGGTTTTGGTGGACAACCAAGAACAATGGCAATTTCTTTTATTGTTTGGGGAGCATCTGGGGCTTCCCTGACCCATAACTGATAGGGTGGTACCCTGTTCCTGGCCCTAGAAGCAGCTCTGACCACCCATGCAGGGTACTTCTGTGCAAACTCCTTTTTAAAAAATGTATTATATTTTTCTAGGGCTGGAGAGATGGCTCAGCGGTTAAGAGCATTGACTGCTCTTGCAGAGGACCCGGGTGCGATTCCCTGGCTAACAACGGTCCATAACTCCAGTTCTAGGGGAATCTGGTGAGCTCTTCTGACCTCAGTAGGCACTGCATGACATGGGTGCACTTACACCCATGTAGGCAATACACTCATACACATAAAATAAAAATATTAAAATATATATTTTTAAAAATGTATTATATTTTTAACTAGCTTAAAAACTTGTGGGTTTCTGAAAAGCTTCATCATGTGTCCTTAGTTTTGACCAAACCATCTCCTACCCTCTCCCCAATCCCTCTATTTCTGCTTAAACCTTTAACACCAAAACATGCAGCCCTCTTTTCATGTTGCTCGTTTTCTACCAGCCCCTAAGTAAACTTTCTTTTTCTTGAGTTGGAAGATTGTAGGTTTCCATTTAACTTTTTGTGCACCTTCATTTAATTAATCTTTCTGCTGCCCCCTCATCCCCATTCCCCCATCCCCGTTCATGCTTCATTTATCCCCTGTGGTCCCTTGACTATGTTTATTCTTCTCCAGTCTAAGTATTCCTTCCAGTATCCTCTATAGAGCTGACTTAGGGGTCATAAATTCCTTTAGTTTATTATGGAAATTTTTAATTTCTCCTTCAATTTTAATAGTGTTAGAAATGGGTCTGGGGGTCAAAAGAAAATGACCACACAATCCACTGTATTTCAGAAAGGCAAAAAGTTTTACTTCTGCAGAAGGGCATAAAGCTGCTCTAAATCTAGCGGGCAAATACACCCAGAAAAGGTCCCACTGGAAGTTTATTCCTAACTTAAAAGGGGTCCTGTGCCTCAGTGTAAGTGGCCAAAGCTCAGCCTCACAATCTTATGAAGTTGGCTACTTCAAAACAGTACAGCTGATAGGCAAAATGCACCATTTGAGAACAGGATGCAACCTTGAGCACAAACTTTAATCTTAGGAAAATGCTAACTGGGGAGGGAGTTTTGCCAGATGGTGTTTTTTGCAAATGTCTTTAAATATGGAAATTCTGGGGCTGGAGAGATGGCTCAGTGGTTAAGAACACTGGTTGTTCTTGCAGAAGATCCGGGTTCAAATCCCAGCACCCACATGGCAGCTAACAACTGTCCGTAACTCCAGTTCCAGGGGATCAAACGGCCTCTTCTGTCCTCAAGGGCATTGCTCAACACGGGTGCACTTACCTACATGCAGGCAATACACTCATACACATAAAAATAATAAATAAGCCGGGTGTAGTGGTGCACACCTGTAGTCCCAGCACTTGGGAGGCAGAGGCAAGTAGATCTCTGTGAGTTCAAGGCCAGCCTGGTCTACATAGTGAGTTCCAGGACAGCTGGAGCTACAGGGAGACCTTGTCTCAAAAAGACCAATAAATAATAAATAAATAAAAATAAATATTAAAAAAGGAACAACTTCTGTTTCATTTAACCCTTTGATAGAAAAGACACTACATCTAACTTACATTTCCCACAATAATTTTGCTGCATGTAACAGTCTGGGTTGGTAACTATGGTCTTTCAGAACTTAAAATACATTTTAAAAATATTTTTATGCCAGGTGTGGTGGCACACGTCTTTAATCCCAGCACTTGGGAGGCAGAGGCAGGCGGATCTTTGTGAGTTCGAGGCCAGCCTGGTCTACATAGTGAGTTCCAGGAGCTACAAGGAGACCCTGTCTCAAAAAGACAAAAAAAATTTTTTTTGAATTGAATTTTTGTGTATTTCATACATAAAATCATCTTTATAACCCCTTCCCTGTTCCCCTTTGTACCTTCTGGAGTTCATACATTCTGTCATTTGTGTTAAGGCCTGTTTTGTAAAGTTAGTGTCCCAAGATGTCCCTCAGTGCTCATTCATCCACCAGAGTTTAGTCAGCCTGTCTAGAGTCCCTCCCTTCAAAAAGATCTGTTCTTCCTTCCCTAGAAGTAATCAGCTGCCAATAATTCTTTGACTAAGATTGGGGCTTGCTGTTCAGGTCTACAGTTCTATGCTGGGTTTTTGTCTGCCTATGTTTGCATGGGTCTTGTGCATGCTGATACCATTGCTGTAGGTTTGTATGAGAAGGGTCCCAGGCACCTGTAGGACTATTTCTGTATGGTCATGCACATCCCAGCTCTTACAATCTTTCTGCCGCCCTCTTCCACAATGGTCCCTGAACCCTGGGTGGGTGGACCTCAATATAGGAGACCTGTCCGAGGACCCACACTCTGTCCACTCTTATTCTCTACAGTTTGGCCATTTGTGGCCTTTGTGTCCCTGGACCTCTGTTGCTTGGGGGAGCTTCATTGATGAGAATTGAAAGATGCATTAGTGTTCTCTTCATCCCTTGTTCTATGTTCAGTGAGTCTTAGGTATAGAGGGTGTATCCTAGATGTACCATTTAGACTTGGGCAATTCACAGAGAATCTCTGTGTGTGACCAGTGGTGTAACTCTGTAAAAATACATCTTTCCAGGCATTTCTTGCTTTAAAAGTTTCTATCCAGCCAGGCATGATGGCACAGACCTTTAATCCCGGCACTCCTAGGATGTGGAGGCAGGCAGATCTCTCTGAGTTCAAGGCCAGCCTGCTGGGGGCTTGAACCAGCAACCCCCACGCAGTGATGATTGGGGATGAGTAAGTGTGCCGCTCGCCAGTCCATGCCACCCCCAGTACCGGGGACAATCAGATGCAATGGGGAGCCTAGTTAAGCAGGGACTCATTTATTGCAGGTGTTACAGAGCTTATAAAGGCATCTGGAAATCCCCCCTTCCCCCTGAGGGTGTATCTTAAGGTTGGTCATGCACTCCTCATGCAGTCCTTCAGACTTTCAAAGCAAGTCAGGCCACGCCCCAGTAACTTCCTCTCGGACCTCTGCAAGGTGGGGCCTTTAGGTCCCCACACCAGCCTGGTCTACATAATAAGTTCCAGACCAAAAAAAAGGGGGGGGCTTTTTCTCTAATAATCAGGTGTTATTCTGATGGGCCTGCCTTTATAAGTGACTTGACTTTTCTCTTTTGCAGCTTTCTATCTGGCAGGGCGTGGTGGCGCATGCCTTTAATCCCAGCAGTTGGGAGGCAGGGACAGTTGGATCTCTGCGAATTCAAGGCCAGCCTGGTCTACATGAGTTCCAGGCAAGCTGAGGGTACAGCAGACCTTGTCTCAAAAAGACAAAAAAAAAAATGATATAACCTATGCTGATTAGTTTCTATCACCCTGACATAAACTAGAAATCCCTGAGAAGGAAACACAATTGAGGCATTCCTCCATCTAACTGGCATGTGGACATATATGTAGGGCATTTTCTTGATAGCTAATTGATACAGGAAAGCCCAGCCCACTGAGGGCAGTGCCATCACTAAGTGGGTGGGCCTCGGGTATACAAGAAAAGTAGCTGAGCAAGCCAGAGGAAGAAAGCCAGTAAGCAATGTTCCTCTGTGGTTTCTACTTCAGTTCCTGCCTCCAGGTTCCTGTCTTGGTGTCCCTTGATGATGGACTGTAACCTATAAGATGAAATAAACCCTTTTCTCCCCAAAAGTAGCTTTTGGTCAGTGTTTTTATCACAGTAACAGAAAGCAAACTAGAACATCACCTGAAAACAGAGACAATTTTTCTTACTTCTTTGGAATTTGAGTCTAATTTTTATTGCCTAATTGTTTGGGCTAGAAGTTTCACTATAGAAATGATAATGGAAATGATAGAAGCAAGATAAATGATAAAAGCAAGAATCTTTGCATTGTTCCTATGTTAGGAGGAAATGTTCAGTCTTTCTTCCTCAAGTACGGTGGGCTTTTCATATGTTTCTTTCTTTCCCAGCTGGTCTGGGACTCACTATGTAGACCACCAGGCTGGCCTTGAACTCACAGAGGATTCACCTGCCTCTGCTTTCTGAGTGCTGAGATTAAAGGCATGCGCCACCAAGCCCAACTATATGTTTCTTTCTATTCCTAGTTTTTTTTTTTTTTATTTTTTTTTTTTTTTTTTTTTTTTAGTGTGTTCATCATGAAAAGCTGTTGAATTTTATTAAATTGTATTTGTGGGGCTGGAGGGACGGCTCAGCGGTTAAGAACACTGGTTGTTCTTGTAGAAGACCAGGGTTTGAATCCCA